TTTCCTAATTTTTCACTATTTTTTTCTCACAAAATTCACACCACCCTCCAAAAACACTTCCTTTTTCCCCAGCCTATGTTTTTGTGCTTAGCATTGTTGTAGGTGGGTAGAAATATCAATGACTAAAACAAAGATTCCTGCCCTCTTAGAGATTATATTCTGTCAGTTGGAAATTACAATATAGAGTAAAGATAGGAATATCTAGTGAGTTAGCATTGTAAGTATAGTGGAGAATAGAAAATAGTAGAAGGTAGAAGGAGACAGATCACGGCTTTTTTAAAGGTCAGAGGGTGGCTGACTCTGTGGCCCGGGGGTTAAGACGGCTGGATCCCACATGGCTGAGTGCATAGTTGGACTCTCAGACCTGGTGGCTTAAGAAACACACTGGGCACATGTGCATGCCCAAAATTCCAAAAGATGGCAGAGATGGAGAAGAAGGGATTACAGAAAGTGACCATTCCCCACAGGGAGTATTTTCTCCTTTCCCTCTGTCTCTGTCTCTCTCTGGCAAGAGTATACATCTTCTAGCAAAAATAAATACATAAATAAATGCCAGAGAGAGAGTGAGCCTTATGGGAAGGCCCACATGGGAAGGTTCTGAATTTGTGTCCACAGATCTTCCTGAATGTGCTGAACACGTGCTGCCCATGATTTGGGGCTGGCTAAGACTGGGAGTGGACGACACTGCTGGACCCATTGGGGATACCGCTCTCTCTGTCTCTCTTCCTCTCTTTCCCCCTCTCTTTTTCTCATTTATGAAAGAGAAATGGATAAACTTTGGGATGGGAGAAGGGTTTTAGATATCAGGAGCAACATGAGAACATACGATAGCCCCGAGGCCAAGCACATCCAGTGTCTAGAGGAACACCCAGGAGCACAATGTGACTGGTGCTGAGAAGGTGCGAGTAGAAGATGGAGTCAGGGAAGTAACGGAGCCTTTTGGTCTTGTGTGAAATGGGGAACCATTACAGGATGATGCCCTTGTGCTTTCCATTATAACCCACACTTACCTTCCTGCATGAACTGAGTCCATGAACAATTTAAGACTTGACTGATGACTCACCACCGCGCCATCAGCACGCACCCACACCACAGAGCATGGTTCTTCAGTTCAGACTGCAAGTGGGTAGTCATTCTGAGTGCCTTTCTGAAGGTTCCAATCGGCGATGCTCACAGCATTTATACTGCTGTATAGACGTATCCTAGCCCACTTATCAATGACAAGCAAGATTTTTGTTCAATAAATAAAGCTGCTTTCATTGTTTTAATTTATTTCTTCTTTAAGTATCTTTTGGTCTGGATAGTGGTATTAAATACCTTTTTTGAAAAGCACTCTTTAAAATTTTTATTTAATGATTTCTTCCATAAGAGAAAGTGACAAAGAGACAAGAACCCCCAACAGAGTCTTCATGCTGTGCTCCAACCATAGTATCAGACAGGCCAGGTGATGTGCACACCTCCGTGCACCCAGGATGTGCAGGGACGTCCTAGACACAAAGCCGGCACCTTTTCCATGCGGGTCCAGTGGCATTACCGCTGAGCCACATTTTTTTTTATTAAGTTGTATTTGTTTTTACGTTTAATCACTGTATGTATTTACAGCATACAAAATGAATTTTCCCAGCATAAGTATATTGTGTATTAGTCCAGTCAAAGATAATACTGTACTCATTATTATCAACAGATAATTTTCCATTTGTGTGGCCATTAAATGTTTTGCTCTTTTCCCCTGACCTCTCCTTCCCACCCCCATTGCCCAGTCTCCTCCCACACTGGCTCTGGTATTCACAGCTGCTCTCCATGACTGCATATCTTCCAGTCGTTCCGTGTCTGCCATAGAGTGCAGACATTCAGTATGTATTTAAAATCTCTGCTTCCCTTTTTACCATGAACAAGACCTTTGCCATAATTTTCCTAGACAGTTCCTGTGACCATTGGCACAGTTGTGTTTTCACAGCTCCATCACCGTGTCTGAGAAACCCTCTTAGAGCCAACGCCGAGCCTCAGCCTGCAGTCTTCATTTCTGTGTCTGGTGAGAAGACTTTATGAGAACCTCCTAAGAGCATGTTCTCTTGCATCCCTTTTACAAGGCAGAGGACTGGCGATTTAATCAGTGCATCTAATTTTAACTGAGACAAGGAGTGCACAGAGAGGCTTTTCTGGAAGGGGTGATGTCTATAAGACCCGCTGGGCTTGTCAGAGAGTTGCTTAAGCCCAGTTAAGCAGTAGGATCAGTAACTCTGAGTTTGCACTATGTGACAAGTCTAACAGGGCATGGCGGAGATGTGCTCCTTTGTTTTATTTTTCTTTTTCTGGCTACTAACACTGAAATTTGGTCAAGTATCCAAAGCCTGTATTTGGATAAATTCCTTTGATTTTCATTAATAAGACTTCTAGGAATCAAACTTACTTTAAAATCACATGTGCATATTGTGTTTTTCTCAGTTTGTCATTCCTATGCTGTGGCAAATTTCTGGGTCTTATTCCAAACTGTTGTAATTTCCCATGGGTAACATATGCCTGATTAATTTTCTAATGTGGTTATTAAAAAGCAAAATAAACAAACACAACTTCATCTGATTGCTTTTCCCACGTTCTATGATTATTTCCTTTGGGAAAGGATTTGCCAGGTGGAGTACTATACAGGTTTCTTGTTAGAGCACAGATTCGCCCATCCAAAAGCTACTCATTTACGAGACTCAAGATCACCTGTACATGTCCTTCCATTCAAGAACCTGCTCATCCTAAGAACCATTTAGCCTAGGAAGATGGGTCACCACCGACCTCACTCTCCCCACCCCTAGCTTACATGCCGGGACGTCATGCTACTAAATGATCCATCCCCAACTGAAGGGTTTGTGAAGGGAAAACCCAAGTCTTATTAAATCAGAGAAGAGACCTACGGCCTGAACACTCAGAGCACATGGCATCAGGCACGGTTTAATTTCACCCAGCTCTTTTTTTTTGAGAGAGATTTTTTGCTATAGGATGTGTGCATTCACCAGCCAGCCAGAGAGAGACAGAGAGATAGAAAGTGAGACATCAGCCCCCCAGAGGGGATGGCCACGCTGCAATCCCTTCTCCTCCATTCTCCTCTTGGGATCTTAGGCATGCACGCATACGTGCCCGGCGTGAGTTTAAGCCACTGGGTCCTGGACTCAAACCGTGGTTGACTATGTGGGAGTCCAGCAACATAGCCATGATGCCAACTGCTGGTCCCATCGCCCAGTTCTTTAATTGTGCCCCAGTGCTAAAAACTCAATGGGACACCAATAGCATTACATTCTGTAGATTTTAAAGTTTGAGACCCCCCTCAGGACATGCACAGTACTCCAGTTAACACTGATTGACATTACACATGATTATCAAGTGAACAAAATGGTTTTCCTGAAAATGCTTCTTTCTTTCTTCTGCTTTAAAAAGTTCATAAATTCTGGGGACCAGCAGTTGGCATGGTGGCTAAGGTGCTGGACACTCACGCATGGCTGACCATGGCTCGAATCCTGGACCTGTTGGCTTGCCTTCTCACTTTCTCTCTCTCTATCTTTCTCTCATCAAATTATAATAAATGTGGGACCAGCATTTGGCATAATGGCTATGTCGCTGGACTCCCATGTAGTAGACCATGGTTTGAGTCCTGGACCTGGTGGCTTAAACTCACACTGGGCGCGTATGTATGTGTGCCCAAGATTCTGAGTGAAGAATGGAGGAGAAGGATTGCGGTGTGGCCATTCCCCCAGGGGGTGATTTCTCATTTTCTGTCTCTCTGTCTCTCTCTATCTTTCTGGAGAGCACACATGCCCTATAGCAAAAACCTCTCCAAAAAGAAAAAAAATTAAAATAAATGAATGAATAAATAAATAAATCTTTTTTTAAAAAATGGCATAAATTCTAAGAAAATGATCACAGATTCATGAGAAGATGAGATGGAATTTCAGCAGTACACTAGGAACAACTTAAATGTCTATAATGGGAGATTGTATACATCAAAGATAGTAGAGACAGGAGCAAATTTTTATAAAGAATTATTTTATTTAGCTTTATTTATTATTATTATTGTAATCTTTCCAGAGAGAGAGAGAAAGGGAAGTGAGAAAGTAAGCCTCCAGATCCAGAACACAAACCATGGTCGGCCACATGGGAGCCCAGTGCCCTTAACCAACCATGCCAACTGCCAGCCCAAAAACAAATTTTTTTTTTTTTTGGAGAGATTTTCACTGTAGGGCGCGTGCGCTCGCCAGGCAGACAGAGAGAGACATAGAGACAGAAAGCGAGAAATCACCCCTCAGGGGGGATGGTCACGCCGCAATCCCTTCTCCTCCATTCTCCTCTCGGGATCTTGGGCACGCATGCACACGCGCCCAGCGTGAGTTTTAAGCCACCAGGTCCAGGACACGAACCGCGGTCGACTACGTGGGAGTCCAGCAACATAGCCATTACGCTAACTGCTGGTTCCCAAGCAAATATTTTTTAATGTTATGACTAAGTGTTGACAGGTGAAGTGTTCATGATATAGAGTTAAGTTAAAATGGTAAAGAATTGTAGGAATGATTTGATATCACTTTTGTTCGTGACATAAAGACTGGAAAGATATATGTATTAAAATGTGAACAGTAATTATTTCTGGGTGGAGAAAATGATGTTGCCATTTACCTTACTCATCTGCACCTCTAATTTTCTATTTGTATAATATATGTTGCTTCCACAAAAAGAAAAATGTCATTTTTCAAAGTCTATCATGATTTCCACAGAACAAATGAGACACAGTGATTTATTTTGGAAATTTTTTAATCAGTCCTTCATCTACACCAACCTCTGTGTAGGGCACTGAAAACTCTGTATCAATAATGTGTTACTAGTTTCTAATGACAGGATTTTACAGATATGCAAACACTGGAGTGCACTGTTGCAAATGCCCACTCTTATGTAAAAATGGTGTCAACCCTGTCAACTCCCTGACCCTGAGACTATGCACTGATGCCCATATATTTCTCTTACAGAGCCAAAGATGTTTGTCTTGCTCTATGTGACAAGTTTTGCAATTTATGCAAGTGGACAACCTCGGGGTAATCAGTTCAAAGGAGAGAACTACTCCCCGAAATATATCTGTAGTATCCCTGGCTTACCTGGACCTCCAGGACCCCCTGGAGCAAATGGCTCCCCTGGGCCCCATGGTCGCATCGGCCTTCCAGGAAGAGATGGCAGAGATGGCAGAAAAGGAGAGAAAGGTGAAAAGGGAACAGCAGGTAATAAGCGGTGATGTTTTATAAAACACCCCTTGTCCCCACCTTCACACTGCTCCCCTTTCTCTTTTTCTCTAATGGGTACTGCTCCTTAAAGCCTTTCTCCACTTCACCTTCATCCATCCTAACAAGTTTTGAGCCGTTACTGTGCTTCAGATGCTGCCCTAATCCTTAATCCTTTACCTTAACCCTTCCTTCATCACAATGACGACTCTTTCAAGCGGATAGTACCACATTTTATAGATGAGAATATTGAACCATAATGTGATTGAACGAATTACTGAAAATGGATGGAGAAGAACTTGCACTGCTAGGGACTGCCAGAGCTGGACTCAAACTCTGACGCCAGGAACCACCGGCTACCCCAGCTAGCAGGCAAGGCTGGAATGCACAAGGGCATGACTGGACAGACAGACAGATGGGCAGGAGGGGAGAGGGCCAGACCTAGAGGAGAACTGGGAGCCAGATGCGCAGATGCCATCCCACTAATACCCTGAGCAGAGATGCGTAAGGGCTTCTAGATTTTCTCTCTCCCAGATGAAATGACAAGAGCACTGCCTACCCTCCCTTTCCTAGTTCACCATTGTCCCACTTTTCCTATGGCAGCTAAAAAGTAGATCTCTTGTAACTCTATACAGAAACACAGTTACCCCCTAGTCTCTCAGCAATTTTCACTTTTTTCTCCCTACAAGTAAAGTTGGCCCAGGAAACTTGCCAAGGTCTGCAGTCTTTCAGAGTAAACTGAACTGAAATCCTAGAGAGGCTCCTTCAACTCTAAAAGAGGAAAGTGTTTGGAATCAATCTTTAAAACAAGTTTCTGAGTGTAAAAGTTGGGACAAAAGATAGGAAGGGGAAAAAAAATCAATGGATCTAAGAAATATGTCTCTATCTAATCATCGCACCTGATCTACTGGACTTCTGTGAAACATTGTCATAATATATTCAGATTAGTGGGTAATAATTTATTCTGAATTTGCCATGTAAATATATTTAGCAAATCAATAGCCACCCAGCATATGAACATTGTTTGATGTTAGATAAAGAACCTTTGGATTAAATGTTCAACATAAGACAAAAGTACTTTTAATGTAATTTTCTAAAGCTTCTGTAAGGTAACACCTGTGAATATAAATATTGGAGTCATGATCATGAATTTCTTTGAAATACTGTAACATCAGTTTATGTAGGCACTCCTTACTTAACACCCGAGTTCCATTCTTAAGATTAGGTGGGTAAGTCAGCTGGTCAGAAAGCGAGGAGCTTCAGTGTGTATCTCGTGTGCCATGGTGTCACGGAGCATGTATTTTGAATAGGTGTCACCCGCTACCACACTAGAGTAATGTCATTTATCCATACCAAGAAGCATGCATTAGATATATGCCTGAAAGTGACAAGACACCCTGCAGCACAATAACATACATCTGGAATAATTGTTTTTATTTACTCTGAATACTACTATGGGTACATAATAAAGTACAAATTTATAAGCAAAATATATGGCCCTGCATGATTGTGAGCACTTCATGTAGAGAACACTAACCGACTGTGGGAGAAGACGAAGACTGAAAAGGGGCGTCCCGAGACTCACAGAGACTGCACGAGGGGATTCCCCAGCTGGAGAACTGGAGGACCGGCTGTAAGTTGTTAACAGGCAGGTCGCTAAGTGAGGAGTGGCTGTGGGGTCTTACTGGCCCTTTTCGTTCTCTGTGTCTGGAAGCAGTAATTTAGTGGCTGCACAAGCCAGCGTTGTAGTCGCAATGACAGGTTTAGACCTTGGCACCTTTGTTTACTAAATTAGTGTCCTTGGGCAAATCGCCTCTCAGAGTCTCTGTGTTAGTAACGGTGACTGCGAATTTTAAGGACAATGATGCATGCAAAACACTCCACAGAATGACTGTTGTGTAGTAAGCTCTCGGTAAATGTTAGCTGTTACTGCCTCTTACATTTTGATCTGCAAATACGGGTCATGGCTAAATACATACTACCCAAGGCCATATAATAAACTATAAATGAGTAATTTGTTTTATGAGGTAGTTTTAATGTTTTTTAAAAATATATATGATTATGCATTCAGATGAAATTTCAGAATTGCTACAATTTTAACCAGCTATTTCCCTTGTTTATCGATTCATTCGTTCAACATGCACGTGTGCATTATTTATCCAACAAGTTTTTGTGCATCTATTAATATTCAATATTATCCAAGACTAGCGTTTCTCAGCTTTTGTTCTGATAGCATTTAGGGTTGAATAATTATTTACTATAGGGTAGCTGCCCTATGCATTACAGGATGTTTAACGACATCCTGCAAGATGGCAACAACTCCCTCCCCAACTATGACAACCAAAAATTCTTCAGACCTTGCCACCTGTCCCTTGGGTAAGAATATGGTAATATAGGCAGTGTGAAATTGCACCTGACTGAGAACACTATTCTAGACACTGGGAACACAAACATGACTAAGACATTGTCCTTGCCTTGATAAGCAGACATTTGTGTAGAGAAGGCCAATATGTCACCATATAATTACAATATGTCATAATGATAATAATGGTGATAGTAATAATAATAACCATTTATTAAGCACTTACTCTATGCCAGGAACTTTCATTTAGCATCTAAAGCCCACCATAACCTTATTGGCAATAATTATAATTAGCAATAATAATAATGTTACAAATATTACAAGTGATTCAAAAATAAAATAACCTTCCAAGCTGACATTATTTTAAACACAATATACACATGTGTACACATAGGATTTATAACAACCAATAAAGGAAAGGTTAAAAATTCCTATATGATCAGGACCAGCAGACAGCGTAATGGCTATGTCACTGGACTCCCATGTAGTCGACTGTGGTTCAAGTCCAGGACCTGGTGGCTTAAACTCACACCAGGCACATGTGCATGCGTGCTCAAGATCCCAAGAGGAGAATGGATGAGAAGGGATTGTGGCATGGCCATCCCCCCTGGGGGTGATTTCTCACTTTCTGTCTGTCTCTGTCTTTCTGGTGAGCACACGCATCCTATAGCAAAAAACTCCTCAAAAAAAATTTGTTGTATATTGCTGTATGATCAATAGGGAGAAGCATACTTCACTGAACAAACTACAGGAACAGAGTCCTTTGGCTTTGGGGATATGTTTTTAATGTGGCACAGCTGGGCAAAGTGTAACTGGGAGCTTCTGTTCTCTCTGTCCTTTCATGCCACCACAAATGTCTTCTCACTCATTTGCCCTTGACGAATATCCCCACCATATCCACCCCAAGCAAATCAGGGAGAATCAAGCATATTTTTGTTCAACTTCCCTACCCTAAATGGGAAATATAGAGCTTATTATATTGAATTATAAATTTTCTTCAAGAATATCTGTATCCCACACTGGACTATAGCAATTATTATTGTAACATATTATTAACATTTAATTTTATATGAAAGTGTATCCATACAAATATCTTCAAATAACACTAGAACTACCTCATTCCAGATTATTATATGGATTTTGGTATTCATGAACTTAGCTATGACCCATATTAGCATATCACAAGGTAATAAGCAATAATAGCTAACTTGAGGGTAGGGAAGGTGTCACTCATGTTGCTCAGTTTGGTAGCACAGTGACTTGGCATGAGTGAATGGTGATCATATTAAATAATAAGTAGATCTGTGCATGCATAGATCCATGGATGGACAGATGAATGGGAGAAATAAATGTCACTGAAGATTAAATCTAAGTAGACCAATTTTATCAAGAAATAAGAAAAAATCCTTAGACTAACCTTTATTCCATAATTATCCTCTACACAAGCACAAGTTGACTGACTAGGGAGAGGGAGAATGATTTTCGCCTTATTTCTACTTTTAATGTGTAGGTCTTTAGCACATAAGCAAATTCTTTATGCAAAGAGTAAGGAACATCGTAAATTGTTACAGCTGATCCATGATCAGGTATCACCCCGCAGTTCAGTGTATTATTACCTGTACTACTGAAAATCCAAACGTTGAGTTGCGAAGACTTTTTCTTGGATAGGTCGTGAAAGTGCATCTCAGTATTTATGGTTTGGTCTTAAAGAATTTAAGAGAGAAGGAGATGGCACTCTAGCTAAATGTCTTTGTTTTATGGACTAGGAGACTAAAGCCAGGGCACTCGAGCCCCTTCAAATTCACCTAACAACCAATGGCTGCACTAGGCAGTGACCCCAGATCTGCCAAGCTGTCGTTTAGTGCTCTGTGCTCACCGAGTTTGGAGCGGACTTTCAATGTCCTTGTATCACAACTAGGACATTTATTAAGACCCAGACAAGAAGTGACTTGTCCAAAATCACAGAGGCTGGAGGATGTGAGCATGCGATGAAACCTTAATGTCAGAATTATTAGTGAAATCGAAGTGGTTTTTATGATTGCAAGGATAATTTATTAAGGATAAAGACAGACAAAGTTAAGCTCCTATTGAAGGTAAAATGGCAATGCAGAAGATGCAGCCTTTGATTGCAAAGTGAATTGAAGAGCAAAATAGTGTTCATATTCCAGTTCTAGCAACGGGGCCAGAGGGATGCAAACATTGAGGATGAGGTCATTAGGATTTTACTTCAAGGAATAAATATCAGAGAGTGTGCTGGCTGAGAACAGTAGTTTCAACCTAATAACAAAAGGCAAAAATGGAGAGGTGAGACACTTGTGCGACACAGATAAGGTTTATGATCTGTTGGCGAGGATGTGTAATAGTCTCAACTAGGGCTGGACTGCGGTGTACGTGATGCTGCGTAGTCTCTTCACAGTCTAAATGATGTATAGCGATTTAGTGTACAAATAATAATAATAAAAGTTGTCTACCACTAAGGGACAGTACTGTGTTCAATAAATGCTGATTCTGACTCACCAAGTAAGGATCGCTTTCATTATTAACATCATCTAAGCATTATTAATTGTTGAACGATCACTTTCCAGAATTATTAAAACAAGATATTTGGTATCTTAAGGTTAGAGCTTTAATTCTCCTCAAATTTACTCTTAACACTTCATCGCTAACTTTACCAAACAACTGAGAAATGATCAAATTATCAAACTCACACATTGATGTGTGTATGATATTCAAATAAATTATATCAAAGCACTATTATGATTTTAAAATGCTTAGCTTAAGAAAGTTATCAAGAACAAATACATACTTAAAAGTGAAACTACACAATACGTCAACAATATGTTTTCCCTAACTATAAAAGTGTGTTACAGGTTACCAATAATTTGAATACTTTTTGAGAAAATATTATCTTATAAGTAATATTTATGAAATTGATTTGTTCATAAAATTGAATGACATCTTTTATAGTATTAAGTCCGTGGCATTACATATTGTTTAAAATTAAATGAATTTTGTTTATTAATTTTAACCACAATCACCATTTTATAGAAACTTAGAGTTAGTTTGCAGCTACAAAAAAAACTGGACACAGAAAATATTCTTGTGATTTTTATGGTGCTTTTTAATATGGTGATTTTTAATTTGTTGAAATCCTTTCACAGCTTTTGTCTTTTCTGTATATAAAGAGGCCCAGAGAAATTAAGGGATTTGCCTAAAATGATACAACCATTTAGTGGCAGAACCAAATAGAATCTAGGATTCTTGACTCCAGACCCGCAGGTAAGAGGCATTTTGATCATTAAGCTAAGAAGGCTTGGATTCTAGTCCTCGCCTGTGACCGAAGCAAGTTTCTTCACTTCTCTGGGACTCAGCTTTGTTCTTTAAAAAGGGCTGCTGCATAGTGGTTATTTGTTGTGTCTTGGATATTGCAGTATATTGAGCCCTTGCTCTGTACCAGGCACCTCGCCACTGCCCAGGTATGCTCTGGCTCCAGAGTCAGATAGGCATGAGTTCTTATCACAGGCCCATCACTCACTACTTCTGTTTCCTTGAGCAAAATAATTTCTCTGCCGCTCCGTTTCCTCATCTGCAATGGAAGTAGCAATAATTCCTGGTTCATAAAGTTGTTATGAGACTTAAATAAGATAATGCATGCAAATAAAGCACCTGACACTGTCCCTGATATATAATAAATAATAAATATAAGTGAATGTTATTTTGATTAAATCTTTTATCCTAACAGAAGCAGAATGGAGCATGAGACTGAAAGCCTTTAAGCATTTGTCGGGTTCTGTTTGTCCCTGTGAATCCACCTTGGGGAATAACAGTATCGTACACACAGAACTCTTCCCGTAGTTAATAATACCTGGTTGTGAATAATTCAGTGGCAGATGACCCATCATTGGATGAGAGTTCATGATCTTAACCCTTAGGGATTTAAATTATTTCTCACATACTCAAGGGATTTGACTTGAAATTCTGGTGAAAATTGTCTATTTCCATTTGTAATATATCATTTTTTCTATAGATTTATCTTTAGTAGTACACCATGGAAGGTTGACTAAAAAGACAAAGTTAGGGTTTGCTGGGTCTTGCAGAAATGCTGTTTGTGACTGTTTTTAGAGAAACTATTAATTAAACTATAAACTCTTTTGAAGGTTTGAAAGGTAAAACTGGACCACTGGGTCTCATTGGTGAGAAAGGGGACCAAGGAGAAACTGGGAAGAAAGGACCCACGGGGCCAGAGGGAGAGAAAGGAGAAGTGGGTCCAGTAGGACCTCCTGGACCTAAGGGAGACCGAGGAGAGCCAGGGGACCCAGGGCTGCCTGGAGTTTGCAGATGTGGAAGCATCGTGCTCAAATCTGCCTTTTCTGTTGGCATCACAACCAGCTACCCAGAAGAAAGACTCCCTATTATATTTAACAAGGTTCTCTTCAACGAGGGCGAGCACTACAACCCCGCGACGGGGAAGTTCATCTGTGCTTTCCCAGGGATCTACTACTTTTCTTATGATATCACGTTGGCTAATAAGCATCTGGCAATCGGGCTGGTGCACAATGGGCAGTACCGGATAAGGACCTTTGATGCCAACACAGGGAACCATGATGTGGCTTCCGGGTCCACAGTAATCTACCTTCAGCCAGAAGATGAAGTGTGGCTGGAGATCTTCTTCACTGACCAGAACGGCCTCTTCTCAGACCCAGGCTGGGCAGACAGCTTGTTCTCTGGATTCCTCCTATACGTTGACACGGACTACCTAGATTCCATATCAGAAGACGATGAACTGTGATCGGACTGCTGACCAGAGTGTTCCCAGATCCCTGGGGCAGACACATTGTTTTAATCTGGGGTCCTGGCAGGCAGAACAAACAGGAATGGAACCCTAGGGCATTCCCACTCGAATTCCAGAATATTTGCAGATAGTTCTACCAGAACCTATCAAAACAAATGACCAGAAGACAAATCGCCAAACAACTGAGACCACACCAAAATGTAAAAAAACAATAATACCAGATAAAAATCCTCTTGAAAGAATGAAAGACAGCATTAATGATTTTTCTGTTAAGTGCCCTGAGCCATAAAACCAGCTGGAAGTGATATTCCCTCATTAAATCTTCATAAAATAGTATTCTTATCTATTATTTAGGAGAATTATAACGTCTTAGATCAAATCTTTGACAATTCTCTAAAGGCTATATAGTAAGTAAAAAAAAAAAGTTGTTTGCAAGCAAGCTAAAGAAAAGTGATTATTTTATTGTGCTATTCATTTCATGTTTATATATACATATATTCACTCAACAACTATTTTTACCCCTTCTCCTGCACTTTTCCCTCATGTCAGAATTTGGTGTACACATCCACATGTGCCCAGACACATCTCTGAATGCTGGCACTCAGACCACAGTCAGCCACATGGGATCTAGCTTCCCTTAACCACTAGGTACTGGACAACAGCTCTTCAATGAGCCTGTATAAATCAGACACCTTGGTGCTCATCTTTAATATGGAGGTAAAACAAAATCCCTACCTCGCACACCCAGTGTTATAATTCTGTGTGATGAGTACCATGGTAACAGACCAGTTCAGTGCTGCTGGCACACAGGACCTGCTATTACTGGGGCTGGGAGCCGAAAAACATTTTTACACATGGAAAATCACTAAGCATGCCAAGGTGTTTATGTATGAGTGTGGTGGATACAAAGAAAACAAAGAATTTTGCATCTTCCCTCCTCCCTATCTCACCTTCAATACCTCGTTGCTATTTTCAATCAGGAGGGGGTGAAAAACTTAGAGATAAAGGAGGCTTAAGATGGGCAGTGAAAATAAAGATGGAAGTGAAAACATTCTTCCAAATCTTTTGTCTCAATAGCTTTTCTCACAAAGAAGCTATTTCACATTATGGTAAGACATCATTTCTCATGGATTTCCGAGATATTTGAATAAAGCAAAGCACATGACTACTGCTTTATGAATAAGACAATAGGAGGAGTGAACAAGAGAGACCAAATGTCTATGTGAATAGGTGTGTCTCTTCCAAGTCTTAAACCTCTTAGTTCCACTCTCTAATTTGTGTCTGCCTCTTTTTCCCCAATGGACTGCAATTGCTCAGTTAATCTCACCCATAATTATATCTCATTTCCTCCTTCTTTGGCTCATTTAATAGTATCCCTTACTCTCCCTTTTTTGTTATCTTTTAGTCCTCCTTCTATGTATTTCGTTTTTTAGAGAGAGATTTTTACCATTGGGTGTGTGTACTTACCAGAGAGACAGAAATCCAGAAACCACCCCACAGGGGGTATAGCCATGCCACAATCTCTTCTCCATTTGCCTCTTGGGATTTTAGGCATGCATGCACATGCACCCAGCATGAGTTTTAAGCCGCTGGGTCCAGGACTTGAACTGCGGTCAACTACATGGGCGTTCAGTAGACGTGACCATTATGCCATCTGCTAGTTCCCTACTTCTGTGTATTTCTATCTTCACTCATTCATTTAACAAATATTTGACTATCTCCTCTGCTTGAATCACCTTACTGGATTCTGTGTGTACTTACCAGAGAGACAGAAATCCAGAAACCACCCCACAGGGGGTATAGCCATGCCACAATCTCTTCTCCATTTGCCTCTTGGGATTTTAGGCATGCATGCACATGCACCCAGCATGAGTTTTAAGCCGCTGGGTCCAGGACTTGAACTGCGGTCAACTACATGGGCGTTCAGTAGACGTGACCATTATGCCATCTGCTAGTTCCCTACTTCTGTGTATTTCTATCTTCACTCATTCATTTAACAAATATTTGACTATCTCCTCTGCTTGAATCACCTTACTGGATTCCGTGAAGACAAAGCAACACCTAAATGAATATGGCATAGCCCCTGACATCACATTTCTTAGGATACAAGAAAGAAACACACACACACACACACACACACACACACACACACACACACACACAAATTACCTATAATTCTGAAAATGAACATGTTAAAATGTGCAAAGTGCTAAACTGAGTAGAAAGACTAAATGCCAAGAAACAGAAGGAAATATTTACTTCCAGTTAGGGAATGAGGGAGGAGAGACAGGGAAATATTTACTTACAGTTAGGGAATAAGAGAGGAGAGATAGGGAAATATTTTCTGTCCATTGGTCCCTAAGAGATGCATAGGACTTGGTGTGCTCAAGTCATGGAAAGGGTATTTGAGACAAAGAGAATGATGAGGATAAAGTTCAGAAATGAGAACAGAGACCCAGAAGTGGAATCAGTGGACCATGTTACATATGTAAGAGCCTTGAATGTCAGCCTAAAGATGGGGAACTTTATTCATGGAAAGTGTAGAGCCCCTATGTGTTACAGAGTTGGGGTCATTCATTATCAGTTGAAATTTACAAAGAAAAAGCAGTTGTACGGACCAGCAGTTGGCGTAATGGCTATGTCACCAGATTCCCATGTAGTCAACCACGGTTAGAGTCCGAGACCCTGTGGCTTAAACCCATACTGGGCATGCGTGCCCAAGAGAATGGAGGAGAAGGGATTGCAGTGTGGCCATCCTCCCGGGTGGTGATTTCTCGCTTTCTGCCTCTCTGTCTCTCTCTCTCTTTCTGGTGAGTGCACACACCCTGTAGCAAAAACTTCTCAAAAAAAAAAATAGAAGAAAGAAAAAGCAGTTGAGTAAGGCCCATGTTTGACTCCTTGTCTTTGAGACCTATTTTGCTCCCATTGTCTTCTGTCATCCATATTTTGTACACCTGTTGCTCTCCTTCTGAGACAGGGACCAAGAGGCCCTTAGGGGGATTAGCCAAAGAAGAGAGAGTGAAGATGGTTTGAGATATTCACCTGCCTCTAGGTAATGGCAGAAGCTAGAATTCCAGACTAAAACATATAAAAACAGCCAATAGAAGTAGCTAACATGAAGGGAACCAGCAGTTAGCGTAATGGCTATGTCGCTGGATTCCCACGTAGTTGACGTCCCGGGCCCGGTGGCTTAGAACTCATGCCGGGCGCGTGTGCATGCGTGTCCAAGATCCCAAGAGGAGAATGGAGGAGAAGGGATTGCGGCGTGACCATCCCCCCTGGGGGTTGATTTCTCACTTTCTGTCTCTGTCTCTCTCTGGCGAGCGCACGCGCCCTATATCAAAAACCTCTCAAAAAAAGAAAAAAATAAAGTAGCTAACTTGAAGAACATGAAAATAATGGGCCCTGTGAAAAATGGTTGGATTTCCTAGTATGTTAGAGTTCCATGATTGGAAATAGAAAATGTATTGCATAATAATTCACAAGATTGTTATATGATTAAAATTTTCTCATCATGACACACAAATGCATTTGGTTTTTGAGCATTGTTTAAAATGTTTCTCTATTACAATGTCTATTTTGAGTAGCCTTTGAACTAAAGTTCCTTTTATTGGTTCTATACCCAGAGATGAATTTTATTTTGAAATTTCCAGTGGAGTAGATGTAGGGTCAGAGCACTGACACAGGAAAGGAAAGCCTATCTTGGTAGTAAAGGGGTAAAATCTTAAACAAATACAAGTGTCTTATTTTCCTTAAAAAAAAAAAAAGAAAAGAAAGAAAGAAAGAAAGGAGAAAGAAAGAAAGAAGAAAGAAAAAGAAAAGTGGGGGCCAGCAGATGGCATAATGGTTACATCAATGGACTCCCACATGGCCGACCAAGGTTCAAGTCCTAGACCCCATGGCTTGAAAATCTCACTAGGTTCATGTGATACATGCCCATGATACTGGAGGTGGAATGGAGGAGAAGGGATTGAGGCATGGCAATCCCACCTGGGAGGGGATTTCTCTCTCTCTCTCTCTCTCTCTCTCTCTCTCTCTCTCTCTAGTGTGTACACACTAAGTCAAAAAAAAAAATACAAAAGAAAACACTCCCTACAGAAAAGAAAATTTATCCACATTTATGGATATTTGAGTCAAAGAAAGTGGAAGAGCAATTTTGTTTTTAAAAATTTGAAATCTCATTCCAATCATTCTTTGTGAAGTTTGACTTGTAATGAACATACATTAGATAATAACCATTGACTATATATCAACTTGTTCCAGAAGGGTTTCAAGCCACATAAAAAGACAGATAGAATACAAAAGAAAACAGCAGTCAGGTGCAGGTGAGGAGAAAATGAGAAGGCAAAACAAACGAAAAAGGCAAGACTGCGGCCATGCACGGCATGTTCCGTGCCGTACACATTTATAGGGCACAGCATCTCCTTGCACCACGCACGCACCAGGGCGTTCCTAGGTCATTTACCATTGTGAGTCATGTTTCTTATGATGAAAAATAGATTTTATATATTTTTAAATGTACTTTTTCTCTACCGCCCTGTGAAAAAGATGATGAACATGAATAAATTTAGTACATTAAGTATTTTCTGCTTTACATCCTTCTCTCTGTCACCCTCTATACTTCCACTTTCAGTAAATGGCATCACTCCCCACCCTGTCACAAAACCCAAAAAGTTTGGGTCCATTCTAGACATCTTTCTTCCCGTCCCTACTGAATTTTTCTATTCAGCACAAATTCTTAGGGTTCTAGCCCTAAAAGTACATCTGACTCATTACACTTGTCCATTCCCAGTGCTAAAGTTTCATGAATATATTCATCGTCGCTTCCCGATTAGTAAAAACTCCGTAGCTGACCTTTTGCCTACAGCCATAGCACCCCAGTCCATCATGCACATTGGATTGGGTATGTCCTTCTAAAACGCAAATGCTGGTCATGTCACTAAGAGGGTAAAATCTAGCAATAGCCATTCTAATTCCTACAATTCAAAAGCTGTTTGGAACACCTATGAGTGTTACTATCAGGCATGCATCCCAGACTCTTCCTCTGGTGACAATATCAGTTTCCTTCTCAAGGACCATCTCCTTTGCGTATGGAATAGGTGAGCTTCTCAGTGGAACTGATTCTTCCAGTATGTAAATCTTCAGCCTGATCCTCAGAACACAGCATTTCTCTCGCCAAAATACTTGATTCAGGTGACTCAATTAGAGTCAATGAAATTTTGCTGGGAAATCTAGAGAAGAGAATCTTATTCTTTCTCATTGGACTTGAGCCTAGGAGCTCTTTAACCACCACAATACTTAATACCATTTGAAAATGGAGCTATCTACAGACG